TCTCTCTCCCTGTATACCCTCTCTCTCCCTCTCTCTCTCTCCCTGTATACTCGCTGTGATTACAGCGCCACGGTCTCAGTGATCACACAGAGCAGATGAAGTAAGTCCGTTCTTCGTCTGCTCTATGGTGATCTCGATCGTCGTCGCTGCTCGGTTTTAATACGAGTGATCTCATTAGATCACTCGTATTAAACGAGCAGTGGCTCCTACTACTCGCCCGGCGCCCGAAACTAAAAAGTGCGTCTTATGGAGCGAAAAATACGGTATATATATCTCTATCATCATGCTTCCAAACTGCTGGCTCTAACTCTCTTAGCTCAGCTTCCCTGTGTTTTGCTCCTCTGTTAATTAATCTTGCCATCGTTAATGTTCTTTTGTATTTATTTTTCTGTATGTGTTATAGCTCGGCGTGTTTGGAAAAACTATCTACCAGCAATCAATGGAATTGTGTTTCTTGTGGATTGTGTAGACCATTCACGCCTTATGGAGTCCAAAGTGGAGCTTAATGTAAGTAACTAACTAACACAAAGCTGTTCTGTTATGGCCTCACACCAGCGGTCTTTGCTACTAAACCATGAACAGTTGTCAAATCAGATTACTTCCAGTCTTGCCAACTTTTTCACTTTGTGGTATTGGGAGCCTCCTAGCTTCAGTTTGTCAGTTAAGTTTTGAAAATGAAAGATTGAAGCAGATTGGTTGCCATGCACAGCTACAGATTTTCTCTGCTTTAGGTTTGATAATTCCCCCGAAATGTGTTTCATCTCACAGAATAAAGTATTCATATTTAATCATTGTTTTTTTTATTTTAAATTCAACTAAGAACTAAAAATAGCTGATTTTGTGATCATGTGAAATTGCTATTTAAACCAGAAATGTACTTTTCCACTATGACAACGCAAAACAAGTGGCAATGTCTAAATGTGCCCCAGTTGCTATTTGTTTTTCTACCTGGTTCCAAAACTGCAGTATTGGGTTTGTTTCTAATGTCTCCCAAATAAACCAGTCTTTTTATAACCAAATAACAGAAGGAAAGCGGTAATATTCTGTATGTTTGGCTGGCTGTTGCATCAGTAATCCACTGGGCATTGATTGCCCTCTTGTGTATTTTATTGCTGCATTATTTTGCTGACAGCCATTTTACTTCAGAAATATATTAAACCTGACACTTTCCTTTATAAGCAGGGCTGTTTTATGCCTTTTTGAATTTGGTAATAAAAGCAATTAGATATTTTGACTGTATCTTGGCTTTTAAGAAATACACACTAGCTATTATTCAATAAAGAATCTTCATGTTCAGTAAAAACATTGGTTTAGTTCACTGTGCTTAACATCGACTAGTACTGTGTGTGTATGTGTATCACACACACACCACTTCATTAGGTATACCTTGCTAGTATCGGGTTGGACCCCTTTTGCCTTCAGAACTGCTTTAATTCTTCGTGGCATTGATTCAACAAGGTGATAGAAACATTCCTTAGACATTTTTGGTTCATACTGACATGATAGCATCACACAGTTGCTGCAGATTTGTCGGCTGCCTAAACATTTCGAGTTACTGCCATGTGATTGGCTGATTAGATATTTGATTTAACGAGCAGTTGAAGAGGTGTACCTAATAAAGCAGCCAACAGCAGCCTTTGTAAACATAAGTTGGGCATTTATAAGCTTTTAAATGGTTTTACTGCAAGCTGCACTTTTCCATTACCTTAGATGTCACTAAAAGGTATGTCTAGGCCAGGGGTGGGCAACTCCAGCTGTGCTTTTAACTAACAAATGCAGCATGCCTCTGGGAGTCACGCCTGCAACTGTCAGTCTTGCAATGCCTCGTAGGACTTGTAGTTCCACAACAGCTGGAGGGCCAAAGTTGCCCACCCCTGGTCTAGGCAGCACAGTTAAATGCAGAAATGCTTTCCAATTGACGAGCCTGCTTGTAAACACTTGAAAGCATATGTGCCGAGACATGCTTGTAAATATAAAAGTGTTGTCAATATGCGACAAAGGAGAACTTTCAAAGGGCAGCGAGCTGTGCTGACAACAAGAAACGGCTTTCATCAGTCTGAATACAGTGAAATTTTAAAAGCTGAGCACTGCTTGAGCTAGCTTACTTCACAACCGTTCTTTTATTACTTGCATTTCATAGCATTGGGTTCCAAACTGTAGCATGTAAACGTATGGGTTTTTTTTTCTGTTAATATGATTTATTTGTAGTCATAAATTTTATATTCATTTTATCTCCCCCTTTAAATCATGCAGGCGCTCATGACAGATGAAACGATATCTAATGTGCCAATCCTCATCCTTGGGAATAAAATTGATAGACCTGAAGCGATCAGTGAGGAGAAGCTGAGAGAAATATTTGGACTTTATGGACAAACCACAGGAAAAGTAAGCACCTTTTTGAATGTATTTGAAAAGGATAACCCTTTATTTTTTTTCACAGATGTGCCTGTGTTCAGTATTATTTCTTCGATTATGGTAGACAAATCTTTATCTTCCCCCACAGCACAGCAGTCTGTCTTTGTAATGTGTGATATTCCTTAAGTGCATAAGTTTGGGAAGGCAGACTGCTAGCAAAGTATGGCTGGCCATTGCTAAGCATTTGTCATGGAGACCAATGGGTGATGAGACACTCCTTGTACCTTCGAGTAACTTCTGCAAACAACTGTAAAGCCTGACTAATGCGAGCAAGCTGTGCACGCATGGTTAAACCATCCCTTACCTTTTCTTAATGTCAAAAGAATAGATATACTTTCTAACAGGCTGGTCTCAGTGTGCAGGAATGAGTACATCTGACTGTCTGAAGCACTTGTTTGTTTTTTTACCTAGAGAAGCTTGGCACGGTGGGTATCAAAAGTGAATAAAATAATCTAAGTGACATTGTTGTGAGACCTACTTGTCAAGGCTCTCGAAACGTGTTGTGAAAAGTATTTTGATGCCCGAAATAAGAGGAGATGGTCACAATTCCATGAATTTCTATGTGTAGAGCTTTGTATTGTTTTACAGTGTTGGGTGCATCAAGGCTAACCACATCGTCTCCCTTTATCTGCAGGGAAATGTGCCACTGAAGGATCTTAATGCTCGCCCCATGGAAGTGTTCATGTGCAGTGTGCTCAAGAGGCAAGGCTATGGCGAGGGCTTCCGTTGGCTCTCACAATACATTGACTGAAACTTTTTTCCTTCTTCAACTCCTCCCTTTGGATTGACAAGACATCAAAAAATAAAAACAGATTCTACAGAGTTCAACTCCTCCGGACTTGATCCAGGTGGACTTCTCTCTCAGTGTGGGGCAGGCCCACATAGGCAGTGATTAACATGTGCAACAACCAGGAGTCTTGTGGGACACCCCCATCAAAAGTTAATATCCATGGAAACAATTCTATTTTTTAAGAAAATGTCAACGTTAACAGTGTCCCCTTATCCTTTTATTTCTTTCTTTTTTTTTATCAGTTTGTTTTTTCTGCAGTTTATATTAGGATTTTTTTTAAAATCTATTTAATGGTATTTACATATATCACTAAATACTCATCCACGTTACATTAGAAGTCCACAATAAACATAGTTTTGGGCTGGCCTGCTCTGTAACAGTGATTTTTTTTTTTTTGCTGTGGAAACATGGCTAACATGTATATGGAGGGTGATTTTTGCCTCATCAGGGTATAGCATTTTGTACTCCTTGCTTTTCACTTGTCTGAAGTGAAACTAGCTATTGAAAGCAAAGGTTGATGTGTTTGCCCAGCTGAGCAGTTCATATATTTCCAATAACTCTTGTCCCTAGTTATTTGTTGGCATGTATTCTCAATTTTGTCCTTAACCTGCCAAAGTCTTGTGGCTACCTTGGCAGGTAAGAGGTTGATTTTTTTTTTTTCCTGCCTTAATTACATTGCGTTGACGTTGCACAGAGCATTGACTGCAGTAACCCATTGCGAATCGTTGGATATCTGCTTTTTAGCAGGTACAAGTGCAGGTTAGGGCAGGTGGTTACTGCATGACTGCCCTCTGCAACATTTTATGAAATAATGCCATATCACTGCAAAGTGATGAAGCTGTCCTTTGGCAGTGAAAGAGATTTCAGCGTGCACTCCTTTTTAGGATCAGGTTGTATGAACAGTGATGAGTGCATCAAATATTTAGAGAAGATATACTCAGATTATTTCATATTTTCCCAACTCTTTTAGTTGCTTTTTAAAAACCACTGGATTGTCCAGTCCCAGTTTGCAACTATCTAGAATTTGCAATAAAGTAAACACTCATATGTAAATGCTTTTGTGGAGTGATTTTTGGTACCTTGTTTTGAGATGAATTCAACAGGAATTTTGCAGATTCAGAGCAAAATGATTGTGTTTGCACATAGCCATCTCCCCAAGCATGCGCACTTACCCAGCATTTGCTCCATCAGCAGCTGCATGTCATTGCTCAGGGCAGGCTTCCTGTTGGTGACCACGGCCGGGCATGCCTCAACGATGAGCATCAGCCCGTCTACTTATAGGGGTTGATTTACTATAGGCAAATGGGCTGTTGACTTTGCAAGGGAATTTGCACTTTGCAGGGCAAGTTTCCCATAGCTTGGTGGATTTCGTTTTGCAAAGAATACCCAATTATGTGCATGGAAAATGTAAAAAAAAATGTTTTTGCTTGCACATGATTGACTGATGGAAGTCAGCAGTGCTTCACTTCATTCACGAAGCTAAGGGAAATCTTCTATTCAAAGTGCAAATTACCTTGCAAAGTGAACAACCTATTTGCCTTTAGTTATTTAACCCCATTGCCTCAACTGGAAGAATGTGACAGGATGACAACACATGAGAGGGATTGGGGGACAGGGACACAGCTTTGTCATCCTGTAGCAGTGAATGCCTAAACCAAGTTATACGTTTACGGTTGGGATTAGAGCTAAATTATTTTTGAACCTGTCAAATAAAAATATAGTGTATATTTTTAAATATAAGCAGAAATTGCTGAAACTATTTCTCACAGAGATTTGAAGTCCTACTGCGGCCATTTTTCTTTGTTAATATGACTTTGTGGTTACACCCTGTCCCATTTTCACAAATTATTATTAGTCTGGTTTATATATCTAGTGTTGCTAAACTGGATTCTGAGGTGTCTCATTTTGACCTACCTACAAACACAGCCTAAAGCTTAACAGAGAGGTAGAAGTGTTTTTCAAATGGCTACGTGTGAAGTCCTCATTAGTGAGTATTTGATGGTAAATAATGCTAAATTACATTTGAAGCTCATCTGTGCCAAACCTAACTACTTAAGAGTTTTGAACGTAAGAGACACCCTAAGAACCTCAACAAATTCTTTTAGGACACATCTCTAAAAGTCACTGCTCTCTGCAGGGAGAAGATCGGGAACTAAGCGATCAGGGGTATGTGATCGCTCAGTTCTCAAACTATAGAGCTGACGTGTGACAGTTTTCAGTGTCGCATGTCGGCTCTAATTATGTGGATGAGTGTATTTCACTCTCCCCATAATTGTTCTTTTAACAAAACGTACCAAATGCTTGTATCTCACAGGCTGCAGACATTGCCATCCAGTATAAAAAAAACTGATATTTGGAGAGAGAGAGAGAGAATATATGTATGTACCGATACCAGTATCGATATTGGTGCCGATACCGAGTATTTGGGCGAGTACTTCCTGTGTCAGGAAGCCGGGCAGCGCGTCATTACACACTGCCCGGTTTCCTGATTGGGCCGGAAGCGGCTCCATGCTCTCTCGTCACTTGTGATGAGAGAGCATGAAGCCGACTTCCCGGCCAATCAGGAAGCCGGGCGCCGTGTAATGACGCAGCGCCTAGCATTCTGATTGGCCGGGAAGCTGGCTTCATGCTCCCTCGTCATCCCATGACGAGGGAGCATGGAGCCAGCCTCCCGACCAATTAGAAAGCAGGGTGTCACATCATTACACGGCGTCCTGATTGGCTGGCCAGACGGCCCCGGCTGTCTACCGGAGGAAGGCCGCGCTCTGGCTGGAGAGGCCCCTCGGGGGTGACAGGCTGGACATACCAAGGTAAGAGGGGACTTTCTTGTTAATCGGGAAGCCGGGTGGCAAGTCTTTACACGCTTCCCGGCTAATCAGGAAGCCAGGTGGCGAGTCATTACATGCCACCTGGCATCCTGAATGGGACTTCCGTTACTCAGTAATTGGTATTGTCGAGCACCGAAATAAAAAAATAACCGGTAATGCTGGTATTGGTGCATCCCCTGT